TAACAGCTACTGGACTATTTTCCTGAAAATTTGTTTTTAGAGAAAGATTTTATAAATTCCAGCCAAAAGCAGTATTTGCTGCTTGGCCAATGAATGCCCAATGTTACTTTGTAGGGAAATAGCTAATATTACTGTGACCATTACCAGGCTATAATTAGAATTTTGATACAGTTCTCTGAATAACTTTTACAATAAGCTGGATGACTAATAAGAAGAAAGTCAATTTGTTATTTTATGGTAATGAGCTTTCGAATATTACCAAATTTGATAGCTGCTGTCCAGTCTGGGAACGTTGTATTTGATTAGGAAAAGGACTGGATCTGATGGTAATTCACACTTGAGATTTTACTTGAGTAAAACTTGCCAAGACAGAGCTCAATTTGCAACTGACAGTATTGAACATGGAAAGATCTCAGAAGACTTAAAATGTTGTGTCTAAAAGCACGGATCTCAACATCAAAACCTTGACAGATGGGGTGGGTTATCTCTTAGCAAATTCTCTAGCTTTTCTTCTTCTAAATGGCAGCATGACATTCATTCGTCATTGATAAGCCAATTATGAGAAATTAACTCTTCCCTTCAAGTTGCACTGAAATTCTTTGTTAATTGGTGGGCAATGGAAATATAAAAGACGTGTAATTTTAAATATGATTGTTGTTTCTCACTAATACTAATAGCTTTTAAGGTAGGCCTACAAATACACCCATATATATATATATATATATATATATATATATATATATATATATATATATATAAAATACCTGTCTCATTAAATAATCTAGATAAGTTTTCTTTACTTATTTTCAATAGGATCCTCTTATATTCATGGACAAACTTGAGTATCTTTATTAAAGGAAGAGAAAAAATTCCCATGTTGATACTTTTGACATTAGCAAAATGTCATCATCTGGGTGTTTTTTTTTTTTTTTTTTTTAAAAAAAAACATATGGACATTTCAAACATAGTTACCTCCCCAATATTGCAAACATGAAATTTAAACCATACAGTCCATAACCTTAGCATTTTTCACTTCAGTTAAAAAAAAAATTTAACTTTCAAATGAACACAACAATTTTGTCTTAGGAAAAAAACAACACCCTGATGATGACATTGTGCTAATGTCGAAAGTACTCTGAATAAATGAATATGTATCAACATGGTAATTTTCTCTAGTCCTTTAATAAGGATACTAAGACTAGATTACTAGCTAGGTTCTCATCAACTTACCGTCAAAATGGCTAGATATAACCATAAGTTCTAAGCTAACAATTTCTTCCTCGCACTTCTCGCTTGTGGAACTCTCTTCTGGCTCCTTTTTTTCCAGTCAACTTTGCACTTAAATTTTTGAAGTTCAACGTCAATTGTTATCTGCTATCTTAATTCCTGCAGTTTTATGCTTTCTCAATGTTTGCTTTTTCTCATTCTTTCACACTCGGTAACTCCTTGCAATGTAGTGACTTTATTGCTTTGCATGGGGTGGAATGATTCAAAATAAATAAATATTTGTGTATGGACACACACACACACACATATATATATATATATATATATATATATATATATGACTGATTGATAAATTTGAGAAAGTGGGGAAACTGTTTTATTGACTTGATTGTGCATTTTGACATCATTAAACAGGCTTCCTCAGATCAAAACAAAAGAAATGTGTTTGTATGTGGCCTGCATAAAAGAACAAAATTGTATGAATTTTGTTCAAGAGCCATTATTTTAATTTGTACTGTTTCCTTTTCTTTTTAGTTTTTCTTGCTTTATTGAAACTTGTTTTTATATTCTCCCACCTTTTCTACAGTGAATTTACGGTGAATCCTTATCCAATTTTTCCAAAGTGGGTTGAAAATAAGATTCCTATATTTCCTGATTAGGTATAGATATGTCTTTATGATTTTTGTGTTGACAATTTTGTCTGGATTCTGTATCCTATTAATACACACATATACATATATGTGTGTGTGTGTGTGTGTGTGTGTGTATTTACAGATTGTGTAAAAGAGGCTCAGCAAGAGGAATTGGTCAGCTAAGTTTGTTTTCATTCACTTTTGAACAAAAAAACCTTGAGAAAAGTATGATTCCATCCCTTCTTGGTCTTTGCTATGGTTTAAATAGCAGTGTAGACTGGTCTCCGTAGCCCTGGTTGGAGAAAGACAACACTGAATTCAAAACTGGTTATGTAGCCCTTAAAAAGCACATACACTTTATAACCATTGAAAAGATTATGGAGTTTACAATTAACTATGCTATTGAGTTATGGACTGAATGATCTTTTTGCCAATTTGTTGATGTTTCTGTTTGATGAATACAAATACCTATTTGTTCTGAAGTAGGTAGATATCTTAGTCTTACAGGTGCATGGGTTTTAAGTTGTGTGAGTGGTAAGGGTCAGACCTGACTTCATCTTCCCATTACTGGTATTGAGAAATTCAACAAGAAATAGGATGTGAAAGAGAGGGTGAAAAAATGGTCTTTTGCCTGTTGGTCCCTTCAAAGGGAAATTCTTAGGAGCCAGTTGAGTACACATGAAGAGAGGTGGGGGTGCCCCACTCCGTTTTACTTTCCTTGCTTGTTCACTTTTGTTCACTTTGTCTTTCTCTCCTATCCTTTCTCTCTTCATCATCCTTACCAGGTGCTTTGGAGCCAACCTGACTGGTCTGCCTTACACATGATTTACAATGAATGCCACGCAAACACATGTCTTTATCTATATATATATATATATATATATATATATATATATATATAATATTGTATCTGAGAAGAGCAAATAATACTTTGTGTACAATAATTATTACAAGTGTATACCTTTATATATAACTTTAGTTGTGTGTTTCTGAATTTTTTTTTTTTTTTTTTTTTTTTAAAGTATGAAATCTAATGCTGTTAGCTTCTGCTGTTCCCCTCCTCCTCATAAAATAATATGAAATTAAAATATTTTTAAAGGAATTTTCGTTCAAATTAAACAGTTCTTTGAATAGCTTCAAAATTAACGGAAGAATTAATATTTGCAGTGAGGGGAAAAATGAAGTCGGCTGTTCAAAAGGTACAAGAGAACAGGATGAATAATGCTCTATACTCCCTCTGCATACTAATGGCACTACCAACATGTTTGGAGTGAAATGAGTAAAATATATATTTCCTTACCAGCAACACAACTGAGTTTCCTGTAAAAGGCAATTGTCAGGTTCTAATTGAAAACTGACTATTGCATAATTTAAATATTGATATTTGATACTATACTATAAATTGAGTACTATTTTATTAGCACCAGCCATATGTGTAATTTTTTTTTTTTTTTTGTTTATACTATGCTTTATAAAAATTTGAGAAATTTTGTTTTTTGAATGTAATGTTTATTTTACCCATAAGAACAAGTCCTAGGAGAATTTAAATACACACACACACAATATATATATATATATATATATATATATTTTGGTGTCAGGAACTTGCCCCAAAGTATTTTTGGGTTGTACATTTAAGTGTCTACCACAAACTTTAAACTTAATGTTTTGGTGTGAAGAACCTGAACAAAAGTTTTCAAAAATGTTTTGATACTGCATATATATATATATATATATATATATATATATATATATATATTCAAAAAATTATAACATAAATATGTTATAAAATCACTAGAAAAATAGCCATTTTGTTTCAACACTTCTGGTTGTCAACACCATCACTTGATAAGACAACAGAAGTGTTGAAACAAAATGGCAATTTTTGTAGTGATTTTATAACCTATTTATGTTATAATTTTTTAATAAATAATTATATTTGCTCTACTCTGTATTGAGCACTCTTTTAAGAATAGTATTTGTTGCTTATTGGAATTTATTCTGTATACACCAATCCTATATATATATATATATATATACACACACACACCAACACACTTTATATATCAAAATACTTTATATATCAAATATATATATATATATATATATATATATATATATATATATATATATATATATATATATATATATATATATGTACAATGATAAATTGTCATCTAAATTATGCAAAAATGACACTGACATCTCATTTTAACAGATATATTTACCAAAATTACACAAAAAATATCTTGAAATACTAAAGTAAATTTATTCAATAAAATCACCATTGGTTTCAGCCACGGCCTCCAGATGACTTCTGCAACTCTTCTGGGCGGTCTCCTTGTTTAAGTTGCTGAATATTGCTGTAATCCTTATTTTCAGTTCATCTTTGATGTTAGAAGTAGTTTTGTTGTTCTTGCTCAACTTTGCCCACACATAATAATCAAGGGGGTTGCAGTCTGAGGAGTTAGTTAGCCAGATGTGAGAGGTGATGTGGTTGCTGAAATTGTCTGATAACTATGACAGGGTTCTCCTGCTTGTGTGGCCTGGTGCAGAGTCCTGTTGCCAGATATAGGGCCTTCCAGCAGCCACCCTCTTGACCCAGGGCAGTAGTACCTCCTCAAGACACCTGATGTAGGCCTCCGTGTTGAGTTTGAGGCCCTCACCAACAAATTTGTTTCTTATCAGAATGAGTTTTCCAAGCTGTTATACCTTCATAATCACCATTAGACTCATCCACCTCTTTCCAAATCCTCTGCACTGTCCTCAGATTGACACCTAAGTACTCTGAAATGTTTGTATTGAAGCTTCCAACATGATTGCCAAGCAGCACAAAATGGTGTTGCTGAATTTCTGGTGGAGTGAATTGAGTTGTAATGCTCTTTTTTTCACACAGTGCCCAACTGACCCTACTATAATGTGGAGTTGACAAAAACAAATAATGCACATACAAGAAATGAAAAATATAAAATGGCAACAATTTACCCATCACACCCTCTGTGTGTGTATGTATATATATATATATATATATATATATATATATATATATATTGTGGGCATACAGTCAAGATTGCATTAGGCTTACTTAGATTCTTTTACTTTCTTCTAGAAGATTCCATTTGTCATTATCAAAGAAGCTGAATGCCTTCTCCACTCTCTAAAATCCTCTTCATCTGCCTAATACATTTCCTTCCTTCTTGCTTCAGTGAATCTAAGCCAGGTGTGGCAGGCAAAGCAGTCCCCACTGCCATGTGCAGCATCTCAAGTCCAAACAGTGGCAGCGACAGCAGTAGTATAAGCAGCGGGGGCAGCTCTGGAAGTGGAGCAGAAAGTGCTGTCATGGTCTGGATGACAGAGCTGCGCTATTCAACAGAGATGGAGTGTATGACTGTGCTGCAGAGCAAATCTATACGTCGTGGATGCGATGCCGCCAGCTTTACTGCTGCAGGACGGGCAATCAAAAGTAAGTCAGATTTTGTTTGTTTTTAATTTCTTTCTCTATTTTACATTTTTATTTTTATTTTATTTTTAAAAAATTTTTATGGCATGGCTCATAGGTACATGTGTACTACAACTTTGTAAGTGATGGATGGAGATGTCTTCTTGCTGATGAGGATGAAACTTTCAAAACAATTGAATTCAATATTTTCAGGATTTTACATATCTATCTAAATAAATAAACATCATATTCTGTCTGTCTATAACCCCTCTAATTCAGGCCACACTTGCTCTACATGATATATTATACTTTTTCGAATCAGGATGATCACGGAATTAAAAATCTGCTCTTCATCTGGCACTTCAACATCCAGCATTGGGATTTGTGTCCGATTGAGGGGGGGACTAGTTAAAAGTTCAAATTTTTAATAACTGAGAAAAAAATCTGATTTTAAAAGTTTTAAATTTATATCAAGTTTAAAATAACACAAAAACTTTGAATTTTTTTTTTTTTTTTTTTAAATTCAGTTTAAAATATCTGTGAAACGTTTTGAATTGAGTAAATCAATTTTCACCATTTACATTGTTTGGACTCTCATCCTCATCTTTTTTGCCATGATGTTTTGGCCGTTGTATGCTCCGGCCTTCTTCAGGTGGTTGGAATGTTGAAATGAACCCTTTATTTCGCTCACTGGGGTGCCATGTCTAATGAATGTCAGTTATCTCCTGTTAATTCCTCTCTCCAAGTTCTCCACTGCCTTAACCAGGTGTTGAACTCGGACTCTTTGGGTCCTGTCACTGGATCTAACTAATGCCTTTATCCACAGTGCCATGTGTCCTTGAGGATACCTGTGTATGAATTTCTGCGTATTATAAACGTAATGTTTTCAACCATTTTTTTTACCGAAAATCATTTTTATTTCTTCAAAATGCCAAGGAATCGGAGTTAAAGTGACATGAGATTTTGAAGTTCCACAGAGTTTGATTTGACAAACTCAGTTTTTGGCCTGAATTGGAATTTAGGCCCAGATCGAACTTTTGGCCCAAATCAGTCTTTTGGCTAGAACTGGACTTAAAGCCCGAATCAGAGTTAAAGTGAGGTTTTAAATTTTCATGGAATGAATTGAATAATTCAAAGTCATTTCTTCAAAATTATCATTGTTGCTTTCTAAGCTGGACCAAAAGTCCTTTTAGTTTTGGGCTAGAGGCCTAATTAGTCTGCCACAGGAAGTAGCTTAAAAGTTTGCACAGAGTGCAGCTTTTATGCTTGTATACTTATATAAAGCACAAAATAGATCACAAAGGAGAAAATTATATTCCCATTTCTACAGATAGGTAAAAAAAAAAAAACAAACATTTCTGAGGAAATTCAGGCAAGAACAGGAAGAGAGCATTGGAATTTCTAAGGCACATAATGAGGAAACAAGGTTTGGAAAATTTGATACCCACAGGACATATTAAAATCAAGAGGGACAGGAAAATAGTGCATAACCTAGCTAACAAGCTTGTGAAAATGGATGACAGAAAAAGGTTTAGGAGTGATAGCAAAATGATAGTTTTCTAAGAGATACAAAGGACTGAAAATTGTGGAGAGCCATTATCGCCCACATCATGAAGGGACATGGCACATAGAACTTTATCTTTCTGTAAGCAGCTTTCTTAAAAAAATTTTTAACTGTGTATGTATGTATGTAAACTATATGTCAAGATATACAGAACACTACTTTGTTAATATGTATTTTTGTCTGAAATCGTTTTGGGTTTAATTTTCTCACCACTTGTTTATATTTTTTTAACAGATTAAATTTTTATTTAATCTCACTTTGACCATAAATCTTATCAGTTTTTTCTTTCGAAATGACAAATATTGTTTGATATAAGGAAAATGTTTGTTACAAACTCTGGTGGGCGTGGAATAATTGAAGAAACTTTTATTTTTTTTATTAAGTTCTTTGCAAAGGACTTTGTTGAATTTACCAAAAAGGACACACAATACTACCAACCAAACCAATGGGAAAACAGTCTCTCATTATTTATAAAAGATTTAAACACACACACACACACACATATATATATATATATATATATATATATATATATATATATAAGGATGGAATTTCTATTTGAATGAATTAAAAGTTAGGTTTTTATTTCTTTCCACTGTTTTCTCTCTTTCAAGATCAATCTTTATTTTTGCACAGCTGCATGTTTAGTTGTTGTAACAGGAAGTTAATTTATTACAGACTAACAGGAAGTGGAACTTTTCTCCATTTTTGTGTCTATTACATTTCCTTTTATACAAAATAATACAGTTCAGAAATGACAAAAATTATTTGCTCATGATGAAGAGGTTGTTGCAGTTGTTTTTGTAAATTTACCCTAAAGATAAACTGCTTTATTTTGCTTTTAAAAGTCATTTGAGAATTGGTGCAAATGGATGAATTACTCATTTGCAAAGTGTAAAATCTAAATATTATTTTTTTTTATTTCAGTTTGTGATTTTTTTATGAGATTATATGAAAATTGTAGTCATCTTTACAACCGCCATCATTATCACTACTACTTTGTGTTTATAAACTCAAAGATTAACTGAAATATAAGTTTCTTGTGTGGCTTGGGTCTTTAAATAAACATTTATACAAAAAAAAACATCCTTTTAAATCAGCAAAAATTTAACTTCACCTATTAAAATGACTAAAATGGTGTAGATAGAATTCTTTAGCTATGGTGAAAGCAATCTGTCGAGTAGGAAGAAAATCTGATACAAAACCATATTATGAGGCTATAAATTCCAGAATGGTATCTGGAATGAGTAAATACACCAAATGGAGGAGGAAATTTTTATTTAAAACTGTGTATAAACTTTTCCAACTCTCACTTCCAAACATCCTGGGTAAAACGATAAAATACTTTCAGCAGATTGGGAGATTTTGAGGATTGTGGAACCATCTCTTAATTGCTGTTGTTCCAAGGTCCACCCTGACTAGGGGTGGTAGCATTGTTAGGGTCCCAGCTATGGGCAAATAGTAATCCCCAAAATGTGGTCAAACACTATGAAAGTATTAAAATACATTTTTATTGTAAAAATTTCCATTAATAGATTTTAATAGCACTTCCCTCAAAAAAAAATAAAAAATTCTCAAAGAAGTTAAATTTCAGCATTAAATAACCCATAAGGAGTTGATATGCCATTAATCAAATCAAACCCTCTTCCAAGACCGCACATAAAAGCAGACTGATGCAACTGACACAAGAATCTCAAAGATTTCCAAACTGTAGAAATGGGATATCTCCAGACCCTTTTCATGTGATCAGGAGAGCAGATCAGCAATCTCAGAATGATGTGGCAGTTGCAGGAATCATTCTCATAGTCTTGGGCTGGTGCATTACATGTGAGTAAAGGAAATATGATGACCACCCAATGCCAAGGTGTTTGAAAAGAATGATCAGCTCTTGACTTAAATAGCAAAAACCTGATGATTTTAAAAATAGGAAACCCCAATAATTGAGTCCAGGTTTCTCACTAGGATTCCCAAGTTTCAGGATGGGGGATATTTTTTATTTTTTTTTTTTTTTACAGAATTTTGTTTATTTAATTAGAACACCCTGGCATTCTATTGAACTATTCCTTAAAGTATGCTTCAGTTTATTTATTTAACAATTAACTATGAATTAAAATAAATTATTGTACATGTATTCAAATTTAAAAATCCACCAACATTTTCTATTACTATTAAATTTGTAAAACTCCCTATAAAAATAATCCATGTAAATGTATTAATATGGAAAAGAATGATGATTTTTCAATAATATATGCACACTTTTTTGGGAATGTACCTTTTGAGTCGGACCTTCGGACTGAAAATGAAAAAGGTGCATTGGACAGAAAAGCTTGAGAATTACTTGTCTTGCTCTTTGTAAAATGTTAAAAGATTCAGAAAACCCATCCGAAACTATTCAAAAGATATACTCTCAATCTCATATTATTCAACATTTCTTTTTAACTAGCTACTGCTTTCCAAACATTCTGGCATTCTTGTCAAATTAGGATTTTTTTCTTTTTTAATATGACAGCTAATCACTTTTAAATTTCAAATTTTGCAACTTGGGATTTTTAATGAAATTTTTTTTTATTAGGCTATTTTTAAAATAAGATGTGTTAACTTGGGCTACTAAAAAAAATATCAACATAAAATTATTAGTTTTAACTTGCAAAAATTTCAGTTTTCTTGAATTTTCTGATGAATCTTATTTCTTAAGTTAATGATTGAGTAAGCTCATGCGAGTTCTGCGACAATAAAATATCCGTAGAAATTCCCCTATTAAATTGTTAAATATTTTAGGTTGGCAGCTTTAACGAAATATTGCAATTACAATCATAAATATGAATGCTAGTCATTATTTTAAGTAAGGGGGTACAAATGAAAAGATTTCAGATTGACAACTTTTTTTTCATTTCCATGAAACAGCCAGTGAACACATCTATTTTCTATTTCTTTCTTTCCTTCTTTCTTTCATTCATTTTCTCACAAAAACCAAGTAGTGTCATTTCTTCTCTTTCCAGTGTTGAAAATGGAATAGCCCATTATTTATGGGGTATTGGCAGGGCGTACTGGTCGTGCAAACTAACAAAAAAAGCAACAAGCACAATTATAATAGGATTAGGGGTTTTCAGATATCAAAATTGTTGTTAATCTGGTAACTTGGTGACCCTCTCCCCAACCCAGAGAAAAAATATAAATAAATAAATTTTAAAAATAGATTCACAGCATTGATCTAGACTAAAATTTAAAATTTATTAAAATTTTTATTTTTTTAAATTATGAGAATGTTCTCCTCAATCCCTGAGACGACATGATGAACATATTGCAGAACAAAAATGTTTCGTTTATCTCTTCCTTAAACACAAACATGTGCAGAATACAATTTCATATTAAGAAATAAAATCGATGACTTGATACTTCCCCCATTACAATAAAGACTATCTGTTCATTGCTATCCATCCCAAAGAATTGTTTCTTTCAAGGAA